TGCATACAACAAGAACTAAAAAAGAAAGGAGATAGAGTACCAGTCTAACTGCATGTACATCAAAATATGCATATAAGGTTAACAAAAGGAGGACCATGTTCCTTATAGATTTATTAGCAGATAACATCACTATGCAATATCATTGATGGAACTGCGTCAAACAATTAAATCCAAACACACAATCATGGTTAACCCAAAGCAATGCAGAAGTCAGTTAAACTATAAGGTAAAGCAGAACAAGGAGGAAATATTGTGAACGTTATAAAAGCAATCCAATTTAGATATCTCACCATTTTATGGCATTCTCCTGCAGCCTGGTTGATCTGTTCAAACGTCTCAGTAGGCATCCCAGTCAAACGCGCTAGGTCTGTTTCATTTGGACTGAAAATATCCACTAGATTGAGTAGTTCTTCAGGCACAGGGGCATCCATTCCACCAGCGTCCACGATAACAGGCACTCCGGCACCTTTTGCAGCCTGGCAAAAGTTTGATATGTTAATAATGGGTTCCTGCACACTCAGAATACATAAGAGCACAAGGTCTGTGCATTTCCAAGTTAGCAAAGTGTTTGAGCTTCTTACGATAGACACAAAATAATCTTATAAATGTACAATAGGGGGATTCGATGAAAGTGATAAATACCTGATTTATCCTGTTGATTAGGAACGCAACAGTTTTCTCTATGTTAGTGGCTTATCTCAAAACTCATTAATCAAATCAATCCAGATAAAAAAAACGGTGGTATAGGAATGAACCAAAAATAGACCTAGCACCATCGGGTACCCACTAGCATCCCAATACACTGTATTAAGTTACAGAGAGATGTCAACACAGGGTCTGAATGTTTATACAACAGATGATTGATTCAAATAGAGTCCCATGACTAATAAGCTTCACTCTCTGCAAGTTACACACAGAGAAAAATTGCTCACGGGAAAGGACAATTCTATGTTACACTAAATATCCAAAAAACAATGGAAAAAGGCAGAGGTGATCCGACTCTCGAAATCTTGTGTGTACTACTGTAAAGAATGATATAGCATTACCTCCAAAAGATTAATCTGAGCATCAACATCAGCTGGCAGATTTTCTGAAAGCTAGAGAACTCCTCTCCTAAATTCTGTGAGTTTACCTAAGGCAATTAACTGCATGAGGCAAACAGAGGCATCACATACCGATCTTACGAATAGAATTGTCGTAAAGCGAAAACGAAAGTTTACATTTTGAACAACAGAAGCCAATATAAATGCCAGTGCACTACAAAACAGGAAAGAATATAGGTTGACAAAGTGTATCTTGATAATGACTCAACCAGCGTCAACACACAATCACCGCAAATGACATGAGTCTATAGCAAGGACTCTCATCATGGATCTATATTGAGTCAAACATCTCTTTTTTGTTGCATCTAATGCTGGCCAGCCAGATTAGGCGCACAAAGAAGCAGTTATTTCCTGTAAAATATAGGCAGTAAGATGCAGGGCTAAATTGATAAGGTGATCACTTCGCTAAAAGGCACCATAGGCAGCAAGGCATAAGCCTATATCGCTAAGCTAATCGCTTTTTAGAAGCTATCATTAGAAAGCAAAGCAAACCATGGGGCACTACATTGCTGCCGCAACCTATATACATACAAACAACAAAGCAACTAATATTAGCTTAGTGGTACTCAAAAAATATATAGAGGAAATTCTTGATGGCGCTACAATGTTATCTGGCGAGTTGATGTACCACCTATCTTTCAATAAAATCACATGATCCACATATGAACACACCTATGAAAGCTAGAACTCACCTATGCAGCACATGATCCACATATGAACACACAAGAAGTTCAGGCCGACACCAGCTCTTATATGAGAAGCTGGCGCTAAAAGCACATGCTTTGGAAACACCTCCTACTGGTGGCGGCATATAACTAAAGGCACACAATAGGATGAGTCTAGGATTGCATTTAGACATGTGAAAGTAACAGAGATCATTATCCATGTAAATAGGACAAGGTTCTATTTTAGGGCTGAGCAAATTCAGGCAGCGCGGGAAGAGGGCTGAGAAAAAAATCACCTTCATCTCCTTTCCTACCTTGGCGGGCATCGGTGGAGGCCATATAGCCGGCCGTAGTGGAGACGGGGAGGGCTCGCGCTGGATCCGCCTGCTGGCCGCAGATCCACCGCCTCCGTTGCGTGCGCGAGCTGCGCGCCGTGCTCCAGCTTCAGATCCGCCGCCGGGATGGGCCCTGCGGTCGGCCGCTCCAGATCCACCGGCGAGTTCGCTGACGCGACCTCCCCGTCGTCATCCACGGCCAGCACGGCGGTCCCTCCGCCGCCAGAGCCCTCCGGCGCGTCAGGGCCTCCGCTGGCTGGGCGCGTGGCCATGGGGACGACCGGCGACGGAGGGGCGCAACCCTAGGCCGTGTGACCCGCTGGGTTGCGTCGCGACGAGGAAGCGGCGTGGGGGTGGCGGCGGTGGAGGAGGAGGAGGAGGAGGGAGGCCGGCGGCGCTGGGAGGGCCGGGTACCGGCGAGGTCGTCCCGCGCCGTCGGCTGAGGAGCGTCGCGCGTGGGGAGCGGCGAGCGTGGCGGAGAGGCGAAGGGAGACGGGGTTCGGTTTGTTTGTTCTGTCGAGACGAGGGGAGGCTTCGAGAGGCAGCGGACGCGGTGGGAGCAGATATCGCAAGGCGGGTGCTGTAGAAGGCGGCGGGAGCAACCAGGACCTTTGATCTACGAATCCAACGGCAGAAGTAATTCTGGTGACGTGGATAGCCTGGACGGCGTCCAAAGCTCCCCGCTTTGATAATAAGAGATTAGGACATCTCTAATAGGACAAGTCAGCAAACTCTAACCACAACAATTTTTTCTTACGCGTCATTGCCAAACTACGTCTTATAAATTGTTCTGAAGACGATAAAGGTTGTTTTCTGTGTTCTCCCTCTGTAAGGTCCTGTTTGGATTCAAGAAGATAATAGTTAGCCGATAATAATTATCTTATTGGATCGAAATAGGTCTTGCTAATAGTTTTGCTAATTGTTAGCTGAGTAGTCAAGTAACAACTATTTCACTAGTTGGACCAAACTAGCTAATAGCAACTAATATTCGTTGTGGCCTATTAGCTAGATAACTATTAGCAGCTACGAGATCCAAACAGGCCATAAACACCAAGCATTTTGGCTTGTGCAATATTACTCAATCATAGAAGGTAGCTCAGTGCAGACAATCAGACCAGTTTGGCCATGTATGCACGAGTAAGAGAACCAAGAATGGAGGGCTCCCCACCTGACCCCAAAGGATAGTGTCCTATGTATACTCATAAATGATTGTGTAGTGCATTGGTAGGGAAATATTGTTTGTGTTGAAGGTAATTGGTTTGAATCCTAAAAGACATTCATTTTTTGATTTTGTCTTTATTATTCGATTTAGGCGGACATGACCTTTGTAAGTACTTGTTTGCATGATAGTAGTATGGCTGAAGGTACTTGTTTTTCTAGCGTTTTTATACAGTTCAGATGGGCCTTTTGGGGCCGCCATTGTTGTTCGTGAGATTGGGCCACGGCCAACAAGAGATCCCAGGGGCCCTAATCCTGGGCCGACTAATAGAAACTTGAACTCGCTTTCCAAAGCTGCAAAAGGATTGGGAAGTTGCCATCTTTCACGAGCAAACAGTAATTTTTGGGCCATCACGTATGATCCAATCAATTGGATTCTCGTATTCTTCGCACATTAAACTTCAATTCTACTACTACTGCGATGCGATGAACAGCTGAGGCATGCAGTCCAGTCGCAAAGAGTCTCAGGCTGGCGACTATCCCGATGTTTTTCTAAATTCAGAATTCTACTACTACATACAGTGCGGCACGTCGCCGTTGGTTTTATCGGCTCCGTATTTTTCAGTCATGGGCCTTTTTGTTCTTTGCTGAATGTATATACTTTTGTTGCTCCAAATAGCAATTATTTGTCAAATAAAACTATATATCTTTTTTTTTTCTGGGATACAAGTGATCAACGTCATAAACTACTGGGACACTTGTGTTATAGTATTATTCTAATTCTAATCTAAAAAATTCCTTTCATTTAGAACATGTTCATTCATTTATTGGAACATTGTTCTTGTGATGTTGGAACATTTTCTCGTGAACCAAACCTTTTCATTTTCACCAAATTTTAACCTAATGGAGTATTTTTCTTTCCTTTAGAAACTTTTCTTCTAAAAAATATTCGAAGATCATAAAGAGATACAGAGGTAACTGTCACTTTATTCAATACATGTATACTGAGAATAAACAATTTAAAATGCTTTAATTAAATAGTACCCATCAGTGTTATAGTGTTTAGTTAGAGGTAGGGGAAAACAAAATAAAGAAAAATATATTCTATAATCCTAGTATTTAGCCAATAAAAAATCCTTTACAAGATCTTGAAATTACCATGTTAATTAGAAAAAGAAAATGACAGCATCGCTCTACACATTGATAAATCACCACTAGTATTGTTATCTTAGGATTTCGATAAAAACAACTCCACGATAATACTCAAGGACTAAAAATCTCCATAGAGTCATTAACAGAATTAAATTAATCCTACTTTGTAGGGTTTTCTTTAAATGGAGCAAATGCGAACCTATTACACCTTCTACAACCTTCTAGAAACCAGCAGAGCTCTAGGTGTTTCAAAGAAGATGAAGCTCTAGATGAAAACCAATAGAGATCGGACATTTGAAGTCGATGTGCATCTACACTACATCAACGCAATTATAAAAAAAAAACAATCATGAAATTTTCAGGACCACCAAGGCACAAACACGATAAGCTAAAGGAGCCAGATCGATTTGACAAGTTTGCAACAGCTTTAGTTTTAAGAGGGTTACGGTGAGTTTGATCCGATGCCCTCACCTGCATCAGTTACAACTCTGCAAAACTGAACATCAAAAAGGATTTAGAGCTGCCTGAAACAGATGAAAATGGCACTCCTCTCGTTCGTTCGCTCGTTCCATAAGCTTTCCACTTGGTCACCTGCTAATCAGGTGCTGGGACAGTTTGCCCCTCACCCTGACTCCATTCTCATCAGCTAACTGGCACACCTGCTGCCTGTACTTAGCGTCATGGTCGCTCGACCACGCCGGTGCCTCGTCCACCGCTGTCTCCTGAAGGTCTATGATTATGTTGTGCAGCAAGCAGCAGACATGGATTATCCGGGGCAGCTTATGCTTGTCCGGACGCCACATCTCACCCTGCAGGAACTTCCATGTGTCCTTGAACTTGGCCAGTGTCCTTGGAGCGACTGTTCTCGCTGCAGAGTGCCTACTGTTGAACTCAGCACTGGACTCTGTGAGGTCCTTCTCTTGGTAAGGTGTGAGCAGCCAGGGAAGAAGGGGGTAGCCCGAGTCGCCAATCAAGTATTCCTCGATCTCTGATCCATCTGATACCTTCAGCTTGCTGCCATTCAGCCGCTCACCTTTCTCGCAGAGCTTGAAAAGGCCAGAGCTGTGCAAAATGCTGGACTCTTTCATGCTTCCAGGCCACCCAGTCACGATGTCTGTAAACCTTGTATCCAAATCAACAACAGCTTGCAATACCATGCTGTAATTCTTCTCCTGATCGAGCCAGACCTTGCAGTTTGGCTCAGCTGATGAAAGGCACATTGTGATGTGTGTTGTATCCACAACGCCGCAGCAGTTTGGCAGACCATGGATCTTCTCAAACTTGGACTTGATCTTCTCCATTTCGCTGGAGTCTGGCCAGCGCAAGTGGTGGCTTGCTCGCTCCTCCATGGCCTCAATGAATCTCCAAGTTATCAGCGACACGGTTGAGTGGTTCACTCCAACAGAGGATCCTACGGTCACCAGTGACCCACCAGAGTTCAGCCTCCGTAGAGCAATGGCCACTCGATCTTCCAAACACAGCATTGTGCCATCAAGAAAGGTATAGCTGCTGGACCTCACCATCATTTCATCTTTCACCAAGTTGCAGACATAGTCGAAAGCTCTTCTTGGCATTTTGAATACAGACTCGAATCTGTGTGCATCCTCGATAGAAGATAAGGTTCCTAAGGAAACATAAGACTAATTATAACTTCCATAACTACTAAGCAGTAAGCAAGAGCTCTCATGTAATGAGTTAAAAAGATGCCACAGAAATCACAAATGAATTACACTAGAGCATTCTATCTAGCATTATTAAACTTAACAGCAAGGTATTTTTCTGGTACAGACCAAACTCCAATCTACATAATTTCCATCAATGACACAGTAACCTGTGATATTTACAATCATGCCAGAGTGCACCAATTCAGAAAGTTATTGTAATCAGCAAAATAGGCATAACAAACCTTACAAGTCATAATTGCTAAGTAGTTCAATGTTGAGTAGTAAAGCACCAAAGAAAAACAATAATATTGAAACCGCCTCAGTTATCTATGTGACTCGTATAAATAAAAAATGTTCCTTTTAAATACTTGTTTGAGGTGATACTCAGTAAAACTGGGACGATTAGCTTATGAACAATACTCCTAGTTCAGAAATAAGTTTGGGGGTTGATTGTGTTTAAATAGGAGGTCATCTCCTAATTCCTGAAAGATTCGCAGGAAGAGCATCACTACCCTTTACGTACAACTTCGAGCATAATCTGTTTCTGCTTCACCAAATGAGGATTTGAGAAGTCCTTCAACCTCTGAGAAATTAATTGCAACAAAAATGAAGTCCAATGTACTATGCAAAAATAGAATGATTGATATAGGTGCTGCTACAAGTACAAGGCTGAATCACATGGCAAACTCAATCACAAAGCTAATACCCCGTGCTTAGAGAGCAAGAAAATAGCTATCATATCCATAGGTTGTAGCTATCAGTCCTATGGACTGATAAAGACCATTGCCATAATCAAACCACAGGACTGAAGGTGTGTCAATTTCAGACCATTTGCAATTTTAGCCATTCAGCTAAAACTGAACTTTTCAATCCTGCCAGCATAATAATCACAACAGGGATACAGAATCCAGTGCTCTGTTGTTGGCAACCTAGTTCAATTCGAAAACGGAATCACACCTAAAACTGGAATGTTCACTGTGCACAACTAAAGCTGAACACGACTCAGGCCAGCGGCATTGCTCCAACTCCAGCATAACCACCACACTAATCACGCCAACTCCCTACCACGATCGACAAAAACCGCAAGATTAACGGCGCAATTCCTCCCTGACGCGACACAGATCTACCAATCGCCGCCGGATGCCCGAGGAGCAAGCACCGCACCAATCGGCAACAAATCTTAACGGAGACAGGCGCACGGCCACCAGCCAGCACAGGAGGCAAGCAGAGACAGACGGGGGGAGGGAGACGCACCTGACATCCGCATGCAGAAGGCGTCCCACCAGTCGCCAGGCGACTCGCCCGAGGCGGCAGCCGCCATTGCGGCCGCCGCCATTGCGGCCGCGGCCGCTTTCTTCTCCAACGCCGCCTTACGCCGGCGCTTGGCCCCGCGCAGCGGCGGCATGGCGCTGGCTGGTGAGGAATCGGGAGGAGCGACCCAGAGGCACGCAGGTACGGGATGAATCAGGAAGCCGGGACGGCGGGCATGGACGGCGTGGCGCGGCCGCGGTGGCGTGGGGGACCCGGCGGCAGGCGGCGGAGGATGCAGCGCATGAGGAGTGCCGCTGGGAGGATAGACGTCGGCGCAAGTTCCTGCGCTGCGGATTGGGATGTTTGAGAGGGGAGGGGAAGTGAGAAGCGGCGGAGAGGGGGAGGAGGTGGAAGCACGGCGAGGTGGGGAGGGCGGAGAGGGAGAAGGGAGGAGCCTCTTTCTTGGTCGAGTTGGGGAAGGATGGAATGGAGGTGTATTTACTATTTGTGCCTGTATACACGTAGAAAGTGTGTGTATCGTGGCCGTATATGTACAAAAGTGGAATGACAACGTGCGTGATTCAGGTGTCTTTTTTGTGTGTATTGCTACAGTGTTACTGAGTACAATTAGTTTCATATGTAGATATACGTATGGTTATATATACATGTGTTCATTCATGGGGCGGAGCGGTTTTATAAGACCGGTAATCGTTATACATATCGAGATAGTTTTTCACCCTCGCCAGCACCACGTGACATGAGGTAGGCTGAAAAATCGTAGGTGGAAAACTACTTATAACGTATTGTTATTGTTATTTGTTATGGAAGTGTGTTTATTCATCGAAGATGTCAAAAGACGTCAAAAGGATGGAACAGTTTTATATAACTATTAACGCTTATACATATTGGGAATGTTTTTCACTTTCGTAAAGCACCACGTGACGTGAGGTAGGTTCAAAAAATGTGGGTGAAAAAAATACATAACACAGTATCTATTTAAGTGTGCTTATTCATCGGATAAACCAAAAGACGCTAAAAGGTCAGAACGGTTTTATAAGACTAGAAACTATTATACATTTCAGGAATGTTTTCCACTCTCGCAAGCACCACGTGACATGAGGTAGGTAAAAAAGATGTGGGTAACATAACAAAATATTATAATTAGCACCTAAGACATATTTTAAAGGAACAACCTTAGATATAGGGGTATATAACAAGTGTGGGTTGCAAAATGCACATAAAGTGATAATATAATTATCTCCTCAGATATAACTAGTCTGATTTAATTGGCTTCCACTTAAAAAATGCTTGATTTAATCCTTAAAGTATTTGTACTTTCTTTTCTTGAGTGTTTTTAGACTGTTGGAGGTGGGAGTAGGGTGGCATGGAGGCAAATTTGGGCAGAGCATACAAGTGGGGAAGGGATGCAGTGGACTGAGTCAAACGCCGCCACCCTTCCTGTCCCTTTCATGAGAAATGTTCAGCTTGGAGGTGTCGCCATTAGTCTATCATTACAAGTACTTATCCAAATCTTTTCAACAACATGTTACCTGTAATGTACAGTAATACTAAATTCAAATCTGTCTGAGTTCAGCATGAATGTGTCCATCAGCTGTGCATCTTCGATTTTGGGGATTCTTGATTGAGAACTTGAGTCAGTTCGATTTTGGGTATGAAAGGGAAAATATATAGTTTTAGTAGTATCCATGATTCCAAATTACATGGATATCCTTTTGACCATCTTGTCTTGTCATGAGATGTTGCAGCCAAAGCTACTTCCAGGCTACCACTAGGCAGGGACGACGCAGGTCTGTTCGGCTGGTATTAAAGTTGGCTGATAAGTCGGCTGAAGCTATTTTATTGTGAGAGGAAAATACTGTAGATTATAGCTGATAAGCCGGCTGATAAGTTTAAGCGATGCAATGGACTTGTTAGGATTGTACAGGAGACGCTGCTGCTTCCTGGGCCCAAAGAGGCTATGATAGGCCTTTGCAAGCACGGCCTCTGCTGGAAAGCCCATCAGGCTCGTTGTGTCTGTAAATCAATTTTTCTAGAGGTAGGCCTTTTCCCACCTAGGAAATAAATGGATTCCTTCTAAAGATAATAAACAAAATAAATTAATGAATGAATGAAAAATAAAAAAAGGAGCAAATCGGCGCGGCGTGCCTATCTCCCAAAATGAGTCTGGTAAGCAACACCTTTTTGTTTTGCAAGTCTTGTTCAAGAGAACAAGGAGCAGTAATTCAAAGTTTGCCGAGAGCTGGATGCAATTATTTGGTTTCATTTGCATGGACAAATGACACTAGAATTGAGTTTCATTTGCACTACTTCATGTGTGTTTTGCTATATTTTTGTAATATAATTGGTCTGATTTTCTTGTTTGCCAAGAAATAAAGCCAAATGTTTTTTTTTCATGACGTTCACCCAGACATATTTGCTATTTTAAATCTGCATACTTTTGCTATTTTTGCAAAAAAAAGCTAAACTTATTTTCAAAATAAATATGTAAAAAGATCTTGTAATCGCTCTGCAAGCCTAATTGTTCACCGATGCTCGCGTTGCAGCTCTTGTGTGTCCGTGTGCTATATATTATTCCTTTTAGTAAATAGTCTCTGTTTTTGTTTTCGGCCCAGTTGGTTAAAGTTGGGTTTGTCTGCTTTAGTGACATTGTTTTCTATTTTAGCCCATCTAGACGTTTGGATTGGGCCTAAGTTTTCTGTTGTCTTTGGGCTACTGGATTCCTGCGTGTGTCCAGTTTTCTAGCTACATTGGATTGCTTGTCTTCTCCTTTTCTTATATATAAACACAAATTGTGGCACCTTCGTGTAATTGTGTCCAGTTTAGCCACTTTTAATTATTTCTCCTTCTCACATCTACGTACGAGTCCATGCCAATTGCCACAAGGAGTCAAAGAGGTAACATACATGTCATCCTTAATTTCCAGACGTACCAATTAATGTACGTATAGAATGCTAGTCTCCGTTCACTTTTTTCACTTTTGCAGTTTGCTTGATCGAGCCTATCCAGAAGGTTGACTTTCTGAAGAAGAAAAAAAATCGATCAATAGATTGTTTGGTTAAAAAATTGATTCATGACATGCCCGTTGTTCCCAAATGGAGAATTAATGACTTAGTCATATAGTCATATGAATAGCATCTGCATGCCTTGGTTGGGTAGAGATTGTCCTGGATTAAATAGGTGGCTATATATTGTGTGCAAAAGTTGTGAGGTTAAAAAAAATGTGGAAGGTAAATTGTACGCCTCACGGCTGTGGCATGGGGATTTGTCTCTCAAGCGGTTTTGCCGCTTCAAATTGTAATTGTAAGAAGCTACAATAATCTACCAAGTCTTAGACTCTTGCCATGGTCTATGTTTGCCACCCATATATGCGTCAAACTCTTGTCGTGGGTCTACTATGTTTGTTACCCATAAAACGAGAATAGTGGGAGTGTGGAAACACACGATGAAAGATAGAAGAAGAGATGCGGGAGTAAGGTACAGATGAATGGGAGAATTAGTGCGTACAACTAGAAGTAAAAACCTAGAAAAAAATCAACTTTTACCCAAAAGTCCAAAGGCTACAGCTCAGACAAATACAGCATGTTCGTTGAGTCGTATTTGACTTATAAGCCATGGCTTATCAGCCAACGAACAGTATTTTTCTCTCACACCATACCAGCCAACAATACTTTTAAACATGGCTTATAAGCCTAACCAGCCCAAACGAATATGGCCATAGTCTCTGACAGAGGTGTGAGAGCGAGGGATGGACCAACGACCGAGAGATGGAAGAAGACTGCTTGCTGTACGATTGATGCTGACTGTGCAGATTTAGACCGTGCAGTAACTACCTACTCTTTGCTGCTGACTGTGGAGAGTGGAGACTGCTTGCTGTTGTCTCTGCATCATATATATCCAAGTCTCGGTCTTCTTCTTCAGTTGTCGTTCACCAGTGTACGTACGTCACCAAACTATAGGAGCCATGACGTACGATTGATGACATAATCATATATAATCACGCAGTACATACTACAAGATGATTAATTGTTCCTGTTTCAGGTAACAATCCATAGAAATCTCATTGCATCACCACAGACAGACACGTATCGACGACGACTGTACGTGTCGTCGGCAAAACGATAACTCGAGCTGAGCTAGTAAACTGTTGGCGAATTTAATTAACCACCATCATGATTTGCCCGGCGGCCGGGATTGTTAGATAGGAGCAAGCTAGCTAAGCAAGGTGAGGAACAAGCGACCCAGCTAGTTGTTGCTCAAAGTCTTGGGTAGTAAATAGAATCGAATCGTTTTTGCGTGTGGAAAAGACGGCTACTCCGTTATCTACGTATCTAAAAGGAAAAGAACATCCATCAGCTAATAATATTTATGCATGCTACTAGCTGATAGCTGATAGGAGGAGAAAGTAAATTCTGCCCCCCAAGAGCATGTGCTCTCGTGCACCACTGGATTTCTTTTTTCCGTGATTGTGTCCTCAGAGCATGTGTTTCATTAAGAGGAAGCAGAAGCAAACACAATACAACAGACTCTGCTAAGCTAAGGATTACCAGCAAAGATTTGACACTTAAAATAAAAAGGTAATTTACCAACAGCGGTAAACAGGCTAGAACCAACTAGAGCAGCAACAAACTAATCAAGGGATATGATAGGGACATTTTTTTAGCGAGAAGAGTTATAGCTTCAACCTTCTATTTTTTTAACGTAATAGTAGGAGCTCTGTCTTTCAATTAAGAAGAAGATGAAATTGACCCAATTTATAAGGAAAACCAGGTATGAAAACCTTACTAGCGCACAATTTATTACAGGGAAATCGCCGAAAAACCTAAACACACTAGCTCAGACGACTAACCCTAGGCAACCCACTTTCACACAACCGTCAGAGCGCACCGCATGTCATCTCAACCTTCTAAATAAAAGAGGGGGCATTGGTCTCAAACTATTACAACATTATATTAGCTTTTTTTAGACTACAACATTATATTAGCTGACAGATGCTACCACAACACAAACACATAATCATGACTCCAGGCTGGATGTAAGAACGGGTTCTTGATAACATACCAATAATCTATATATTTATATATAATATTAAATAGGGAAGTGCTTTTTTCTTTTACTTTCCAAATTGCCATCGCG